CTACTACTGAGAATCTTTTTTATAAACCCAGTAATACTTTGCCCGACCCGGGCATTGGACCTGAAACCCCTTGCCTACTAGTCGCATTTGCAACTACTCAGCCAACGAAGCAGTCTTATTTTTTAATACTTTTTCATTGTACAACTTGCAACTCAACTTGTGAACAGAGGTGTATTGAAATAAATATTTTAAATATTACCTTAAACTGTTAAACACCAAGCGGTCACCGGTGACCGTAACCTGTTGTTCTATAATTGTGTCTATAATGACGGTACTCGACGAGTTAAAAGTAGGTTACTATACTCAGTTGACAGACAGTCCTAACTGTATTCCAGATGATCTGGCAGAACTGGCTACAGACTGGTTGAAAGTAGGTTTACTCATTACTTTTTAAAATATAAGTATTTTTATGCTGCCTTGGAGGTGCAGTAGTTGCAAGAGCGGCTGTTGAACATCACATAAAGAGCATACTTAATAAGTAGCCACTGCTGACCAAAGGTGTATTCTCACACGGAGAAGGTCTGAGCATTAATCACCACGTTTGCTCAATGCGTGTTGGCGATAATCTTAGAAAGCACATATAACTCGGAAATGTCACATTGATACTTGCTTTTGGTAGGTTTCGTCTTAGACCTCCGAGCCGTCGCGGAGAACCTAACGTGTTACCGGGGCTCCGGCTCGAAGTACAGGAGAAGGAACGTGGTGGTTTTTAGTCAGTAAGAGTATGACACTCCCTTCCGCCTCACCCGGGCGGGAGAAGTTATTCGATGATGTACCCCCTTTAAAAAAAGTACCTCCGAGCCACTTAAATGTTTATTACTACATGCATATGAAAAAAATATACATACGATACACGGTCTTACCAAAATAACATATTTTTCAATTTTTGCCTGTCTATCTGTTTGTCTAACTGGTTAATTTCTGAAACGGCAGGACCTAATTTGATGCGATTTTATTGGCAGGTAGCTGATGTACTAAGGAGTAACATAAGCTATTTTTATTCTAGAAATATGAAACAAAAAAAAACATTTCCTAAAATTCATATTCAACGCAGACGTAGTCGCGGGCAACAGTTAGTTAAGTCATAAAACACTAGTTCAGACTTCCTCAAAGAAAGATATTTCCTTAAAAAAAATATTCTTAGCTAATTAATCACCCATTGAGTTATAAATCTTAATCTAACTAAATTAATTATCTTTCTTATGTAACATTACATTATGACATAACTCAAATTGTAACATGCTATGTAACATTACGAATCACCATTGACATGAGAATTTTTGTTAATTTTTGTAGCTTTTAGTTTTACATGGTTTATTTCTTTTGTTTATGTTATGGTGTGAGTTCTTTGTTTATTGTCGTTTAATGAAAACTTAGTTTCGCTTCATGGGAAGTTAGGTGACAGTATAAGTCGCCTGCTATTTTCTTTTTTAGTTATTACTTAGGCTTTACTTACGGAACGTGTCACGACGGTTCGATTCCCGCACGGAACATCTCTTTGTGTGGTCCACATATTGGTGTTCCGGGCCTGAGTGTTATGTGTATGTGAACTTGTATGTTTGTAAACGCACCCACGAAACAGTAGAAAATCCTAATGCAAGGCAACGTGTGTTTAAGAATAAACCTTTGTCCTTTGATAATTTAGAGCAGTGGGGCTCTCTTTGGTCGCAAATAATAATGTGAGTGTGAAACAGGTTGTTTCATTTTTGATTACCTTGTTTATCATAATTATATAGATGTTTGCAGCCTGGTTTTACTTACTCTCATATTCTGCAATGCTTGGATTAACAGCATATCTGACAAAAAGTTCGTGTACTTAAGCAAAATTGCTAATACATTACTGTACACTCAGTGAACCTACGTTCCGTTGTACCTAGGCCTATTCTGTGTACGTTAAGTATGACACTATTAAAAGTGTGTGAAGGATGACCACTCATCCATGGCACAAACACAATATACTTCGCTTAACCTACAAAGAGTTTTTGCAGTCATTATAAAGTACATTACCTATGTATATAAAAATATTACATACATATGGGTCGAATTGATAATCTTCTTATTTGAAATCGGTTAAAAATAGTTATAGCTTAGAAAGATCGAAGCTATCAAGCGCTGAGTAGCTAGCAAAAGCTAATCTTGTACTTTATTTCGAACCTATCCATATTCTACCTCTATATTCTATATATATATATATATAAAAATAAGTCCCTTTTTCCCTTGGTCACGGCTTCACGCATGAATTACTGGACCGATTTCACTAATTCTTATTTTGTTGTATATGTCATTATTAGGAGAAGGTCCTTAAGATACAAAATAACTTAAAAATCCTACGGGAACGGGAGAAAGCGGGATTGCGCGTACGAAGTCGCGAGCAGATGCTAGTAGATTATAATATCCAATCATACCCCAAAAGACTCATCTATATTTTATCTCGCCTACAGTACTATGTAGTAACAAACTTACGTAACATTTAGACCTTTGTCTCACTTCTTCTTCAATGAAATGATCCATCTTCTATGTTATTAACACCACCTTCATAGCACCTTCAGATACATTATGCAAACTTACATCACAATATAACAACTCAATTACTTATTTAAATACAGTCTACAAATGTAAAACAATAGTTATTTTGTAAAAACATGCACCATCTTAATTGTACGGTACGCAAAAATGGTAGGTGCGTTACAACTGTTAAAACTGCGTGTACCTCGTGTAGTGTAATCTAATAACACGTTACATTTTGAGAAAGTGTTTCATCGTAACATTTGTTTAATTATAGAGGTCAATTTTTGCCTTGTTATTTGAATGGCAGGAAACGTGGGTACTGAGTTTTTTATGGGATAAGCCGGTAAGCGAGCAGACGGATCACCTGATGATAAGCAATCGGGGTCGCCCATGGACACCTGGAACCGTGTCTAACGGCCTTTTGCGATTGGGAATTTCAGGATTGTTGGGGATACTCACGACTCACGACGAAAGAAAACGCAAGCGTTGTCTCACGTCGCTTTTCTGTGAGGCCGTGGTATCACTCCGGTCGAGCCGGCCCATTCGTGCCGAAGCATGGCTCTCCCACACTTAGTCTATGTTCAACTCCCGGATCGAGTAAAGTTCTATTGAATTTATTGGAAAATAATTTCGCTTGCGACCACATCGCCAATGAATTATTTCAGCAAAACATAACTTTTTCTATTTCAGTTATTATTAATAACA